CAGTGAACAAATAAACAGGAATTTATTGTTGAAAGCTAAAAACTGAGAGCCATATTTGCTACCAGTTTTTCCTGATGAGCCAAACTAGCATTGTAACTTAAGCCAAATAAGAGAAAACTGCTTTCTGATGTAAAGTGCTAAATTTGTCTGCTTGTAGTCTCTGTAGCAACCCAATATTCCAAAGAGACAATCATGTGATCAATGCTCTCAGCTCCTGCTGTTTATCCTGCACTGTCCTACTTACAGCAGCTCTCAATTCCAGCTGTCTACAGTAAAAGGAAAAACATCACCTGCTCTCCTGCCGGTACACGATGCCAGAACAGCCTCATTAGAGCTGTTGTAAAAAAAAAAAAAAAAAATGTTGACTTTGTTTGATTTGAAGATTAACATAGGTTGGAGATTTGCACAGCAAAAAGAGTTGAGCAGACTTAAAAGATGGCAGAAAATACTCCAGTAGTAGCAAAGAAGAGCCACTTCATTTCAGGTATGAAGGTTTCAAGTTAAACATACGGAAATAAAGCTAAAACCCACGACTGCAGGTTATTGTATTTATACAGTTATAACATAACTGTAATTACGTTAATTCTCAAGTATGAGCAAGATCTGAATTTTAGCACTCAAATCTCCTCATCCTGCTCCTGAAAAGAATTATTATTAATAGTCATTTGGAGCATCCTCCTCCTGGAAGCAAGAAGAACTATTTCACTGCTACTGAAAGCAGTCCCCACAGAAAACAGGAAAGACACCAAAGAGGGGAACATGGCAGGAAGCTGAGCTGAAGCATTGCTTTCCCTTTGTCCTGAGGGCAGCAAAGGCCAAACAGACAATGGCCAATCGCTTTGAGTAACTGCTGTTACATTATCAGCATTCCCGAAGAAGGCAGCAATTGCTACGTCCCAATTAAAAAACTGCTCCCCTGCACAAGCCATGGGCATTTGGGACTGCACAACTGCCAACACGCTCATGAAAGATGTCCACTGTGGCTGGTTTTTACCTTTTCCTCTTGGTAAGATAAGGCAGAGGAAAAAAAGCACGTGTGTGTGTGAATACATACACATATACATACACAAAATATAGACACACAAACACACACGAGGAATATTTCTCAGCAGTCGTTTCCCTTGAAGTTCTGTACTTGCATTATATAATCCCTTACCCAGGTTAAGGTCGAACAGCACAACTTGTGAAACTTGTGCAGCAAGTTTTATTTTGTAAGCTATGATAAGCTTATCGCTTATGTTTTTCCAAGTGGTGGGAGTGTTGTGTTTGTGGGTTTTTCTTTCCCCCCCCCATGAACAGATCAACTCGTTTACTATTTAAAAAGAATCCCACCAAATCAGTATTGCTCAATTATTTGCTTACTGGTGTTTCAATTATGTTAAAATTTAGCAAGTTTTACTTATTACCTAAAAAAGTTCAGCAGATGAGCTCCACGTAGGCCCTTCATACTTTTCAGTAGGAGTGTCAGATTTAATCTTCATTAAGGAATTTTGCCTAGAATAGCATTTATTCTGACAGGTTTCCTAATAATATTTATGCTAGGTATATGCCGCTATTTTATCACCCAGCTGGCAGGAGGAAAAGCCTCGTCCAAAGGCTGGTATTTCAGCAGCCCAACCAGAAGAGGCAGAGCTGGGTGCAGCAGATCACAGTCCTGTCTCATATTCTTAAAGTGTGGAGTTTTAAATAAAACATACACGGCTATTTCTGAACATGACAGTAACAACACAGGTTGGAAAGGAGAAAAGAAAAAGATGTGTTTATTTGGCAAACTTTGTAATTTAATATGTGGTCACCTTAAAGGTAGATTACAAAAGCTCAGTAAGTTGTTGAGAAAGGATGTGACAAACACTGCAGCGATTTTTTCCCCATTTGGTTACAACTAGGGCTATTAACAAAACCTTCACTTCAGTCTTTTATTCCACTGTTATCCCTGTAGCTCCCATCATCCCTTCTTGAACATTTTGGAAATTGCTTCCTTACATATTAAGGGCAGCAACAAAGAAAAAAAGAAAGAAAAACCAAAAAACATTCACCAAACACACAGCCACTTTATGGAGTCGGCCACTCCATTCCCCTGTCTCTATAAACAGCAGTGGAACACCAACATGCTCAAAAACCTCCAACAGTTTCCTCAGGCATGGCAATCGTGACTTGCACTGCCAGATCCAATTTCACCAAATACATGACTGTCTCACTTTTCCCAGTGCTGGTTTTAGACTGGGGGGAAGCAGGGGGAGGGAGGGAAGAGCAGCTCATGGTGATTGCCTTGCAGCCCCGTCAACGTGCAGCCTGTGACCCCGTAATGCAAACATTTGACTTTTTTGCTTTATCAGAAACTTTTTTTTTTTTTTTCCCCCCATCTCACCACAACCTCCAAGTCACAGCCTGGGACACTGGATAACAAAACCTCAACATTCAGGTGGGAACAATCACATGTGAAAAAAAAAAAAAAGAGCTCTATCTGTACTTGTTTCAAAGAGAAAGAAAGTGAAGAAGTGAGACTAGGGTTCTACACAGCCAGCTCTAGCTCCAGCACACTGAGGTTAGCCAGTTAGCTTCGCAGCCAAGAGCATCAACTATTCAGTCTCTAATCAAAGTCTTTTAAGATTGTCTACAAGAACAACGAGTCTTATCTAAACTGTAGTTATAATACACAGAAATCCAATCTACATAGTAACTAGCCACGTCCCAAAGTACAGGGTAGCATAAACTCTGATCTGAAGCAGGCTGGTAGCTGATTTCATACCCGGGATAATAGGCATCTCTAAATTATATAGGCACACTGATTCTATACTCAGGGTTTCTGAAAGTCAATGCAAAGCACAGTCCCACAGAACACAAAGCACAGAGGATGAAAGCAGCCACTAAAGATAACAGCAACAAGGGCTGAAATGAAGCAAAGCAATGTTCATTCACTGACTCCAAAGAGCAGGGAAAATCCTCCCTCACCTCATCCTTTCTCCTGTATCTGTCCCACTATTTCATATTTTCTAGGACCGAAGGAGGAATAAAGATATTCCAACATCATTACCAGGTAACTTTTTTCATTCTTAATAACGACATAGGCATTTAATGCACACAAGCAATATAGAGAAGCAATCACAACCCTCCTGAATGGAAATGCTTTATTCTCCATGACATGTGCAGTACATGCCACGTTCATCTACGACCACACAGGAGGAACACTGTTGTGTCAGAGGGAAATAAATGCATATAGGAAGAAACAGTCTTCTGAAAAAGGACTCCTTTCCACATCAAGAAGCAAGTATGACACACTTATAAATTCATAACACTGATTTCAAAAATTGCTATTCTTATTACTAGAAAGATGGAGAAAATGCAAAGAAGAAAAATACAGCTTCAAAAAGAGTGTTATGTTTTTTAAGATAAGGGCATCTGTTGGATCAACAGAGGCCACAGCAGATACCTCTGAACAACCTAACAAAATTAATGGCATTCCTAATAGGGATGAGCAAAATATGCACATCTGTTAATTACTCCCCTCACTTTAGTGGTTTATTTCATACAAACCACTACTCGGAATATCAAGTGGTTGAGGTATCTGGTAGAAAACATAGATTTCTGCAACAAAACTGTTTTACGCAGATCTTCTTATCTTTCCCCTCTATTTTTCCAGCAGTTCTGAACCACTTATGGTGAAGTGGTGTTGTGGGTAAGCTCACAATTCCTTCAGTTATTCTCATCAAGCATGCTGACCTTCTGAGCTTCTTAAAAAAAGAATCAGTTTCCAAATTAAACAAATGCTGCTATTTTATTTTAAAAGCTTTCATCAGCTTTTCCAGCTGCTGCAGAGAGCTTTATAGAATTACTCCAAGAGATGCCATGACATAATGAATGCTGGTTTCAAACAGCAATTTGGAAAACTAGTTCCTCAACTGAGGAAAGCCTAGAGTGTGCCAAGACAGTATCAGTCTAAATAGGTAAAAGTAAACTCTTTATTATTGATTTATGGCACCAGAGAGAAGAAATGGGTGGACAAGGACATCCCAGAAAGGAAATATCTTTCCCTTACTAGGGGGGGGACAAAGGGATGCCTGGAACTAAAAGGACAAGTTTACCCATAAATTAAAAGCAGCAGTCCACAATTGCTAGAAACACACACAAACATGTGCTTCTGCTGCAAAACAGTTCTAGATTTCTTTGAGGTTTAAATTTACTGCAGAAGATGTCAATAAAGGCCAACCTCCCATCCAAAAAGTAGAGCCACCAGTCTCCAAACATTCTACATGCAAGATTTAACACATGCATTAAAAAAACCCAAACAAATACAGATAAAAACAAATAAGAAAACCCACCACCATTCTCTAAGCTTTAAATTACTTTGGATTTTAAAAGCTGATTTGAGTACAGAGATTACACTTGTTCCAGATAACCTAGTTTTTATTCATTTCATTACTTATTGCTAGGCAACATAGACCGTGTCAAACCATGTTAGAACCACGAGGAGAAGTTCTTCCAATCTAGATCAGATATTTGCTCCTTACCCTCCTCCCCCCAGTGTGGAGGCCACATGTATTACTCTACCAGTATGCCCCCAGATGCAACTTTCTTTCTGGACAGCAGCTAACAAACTGTCTTCCCAAAGTCCTCTGCATTTGATGCTTGTAAATGGCTCTCCAGATTCCACTCCCTCAAAGAACAAGTGCTATTTACAGTTAGAATTAGTCCTGGCCACTATACTGGTAGCTTCACAGCAGCTGTCCTTTTCTTCATTCCTAAAAGGCTCTAGCTTCTTTTACAACCCTTCTTATCCATGGTGTCCAATACAGAAGAGACAGGTTATTGTCTTCAGTATTACTGCATTTCTTCATAAGAAAGTTTTGAAGAACTCCCAAAAGGCAGAAAAACAAGAAAGATCAGAGATTCAGGATCCCAAGCAACCCATAAATTGAGTGCTCTTAATTAAACGTTTCTTCTAGCGTAAAGCTTAAACAAACTCTACAGCTTCTTTAATAAAGCAAAATAAAGCATCCTACCTTTTGTTTATAGGTTTTTCATCTTTCTCATAAGGCTTCACAAACCATTTCCCAATGCGCACAAAGTTCCTGTTCATTAAACACCTCTCCAACAGGTTGTGAACAGCTTTGAAAAGCAGAGTGCGACATTCATAAGAAAGTCCATTCTCCCAAACACCATCTTCTTCTTCTACAAGGCAAAGAAAAAAAAATAAATTAACATCCTATTACTTCACATAGTAGATATTTCATGAAATTGTTTCCTTTCCCACAAGCTCTTAAGACAGTCACAGCATAACATACAACCAACGAAAGCCTATAACATGAGCAAGTAATTTGAATGTTACAAGAATATATCTGCTAAAAGTAATCAGTTATGAAGTCTCTCCCCCACACTCCTTCCTTAAAAAAGGAAAATTTATAAACAGAAAGAAACAACCAGCACCAGTATGTTACATATTTCAGCCTGCAAAACCATTTATCTGTTTGCAGCATGGCTCATATTTTGAACTAGTTATCCTGAAATGCTAAATGACAGTTATGCTTGATAAAAAAATAAATTGCCCACAGCCACATTTTTAAAATACCCGTGTGTGTTTAGCTACTGTTCATTGAGGAGCTGGGCAAAAGTATTAATGATTAACTGACCCTTAATGTTCATCCATTCGCTAATGAGGAAGGGAGGTGTGGGGGGGTAAAACACCACCTAGATACAGAGAGCAGTGGTAGGAACAACCTGAACCCTCTCCTCACAAGATTCACACAACTGGCATTTTCTTTAAAATTTTAAAATAAACAAATGATAGAAAAATCAGGCTAGTGCCACTTTCAAATCTATATACAGAAAAGCAAACAGAAAAACAAAGCCCAGCTCATACTGATAAGATTCTCAAGTGAAACACCAATATCTGAACTGTGGGGTACATAAAACAACAGGCATGGAATCCAACTTAGTGAACCAAGCTGATTTTTCAAATCAGAAAGCAAGATTCATTACAGGAAGCTGTAAACTCTTCAACCACTCAGGCCCTAGGAGTGGTAGTCCCAAAGAATTACAGTGGCAGCTACACCACACAAGTGAGAGACATTTCATGGTTCCTGTAACATCTCTCAATAGTTCATCTTCTGTACCACTGCTCTGATGAGGACAATACAGAAAAACTCAGGATCTTTTCCTTCCATTATGGCAGTCAAGTCCTACCTTCACACCTACAACCCTCAGACATCGTGTTTGACAGATATCCACAAAGATCTGCTACTGGTCACCTTGGACTAGCTTAGCCCAGTTATTCTTACAGCTCCATTGCTTTGGCACTCCAGATAACAGCACAGACTTAAATGACTACCTGACATGGATAAAGAGACATTTTTACTTCCATCTCGGGGTAGTTGTGGAACAACATAGGTTGAATGGGACCTGTGGAAGTTCCTTGCTCCTACCCACACCCAGAGTTCAAAGCTAGACCAGGCTGCCCATATCCCTTATCATCATCCCTCGCACCTCCAAGACGTGAGTTTGGGCTCAGACTTCAGTTCCACACATGAGGTTGTACAGAAGCAACCTGTCTGCTCACCTCTCTTTCAGAGAGAATTTGGGTTCAAATAGCTTTCCTCTGGACTGTTTTGTGGTCAGAAAACCTCAGCAATGCAGCCAAGTCCTTGCATTGTAAATCTCCCTTTGAAATAAGCCCCTTCACCTTTATCTGGAAGCCACTTAGAAGCTTAAAAGGTTGCAATGGTATTAAGTCTCAATAACCTTAAATTAGAGAGCATATAGAAAACCAAACACCTAAGGGTTTTATCTAGAAGGAAACCCTACAGCTTATTACAACAAGCAATGTTTAAGACGAGGGTGAAGAGAATGGAATTTCAAGGCATTATTGCAACTAGAAAATGGGGGGACACATCTGCGTCCTGTTTAATTCCATGCAAATTAGTGCACATTTCCACTTCACATCACTGCTGTGAGTTACAGAAGATTACTCACTGTCCCAGAATCCTTCTCTGAGGGATAGAAGAAGAGTAAACAGACCTGCCCCATAATTTGTGAGGAAAAAGATGCACATCACTACAGATGAATCATTACATGAAATACTTTCCTGGTAAAGACAAGGAAAAGCAACAAACTGCATTTCCTCAGTGAGAGACCCCACTGTGAGTTTCTCCCTTTCCACCACCTTAACTCCAGTGTCGAAATTCAGCATGAACTTGTTTTGCAAACCATAAAGCTACAAGATAATATAGTAACTCACTGAGGAAACATCATTCAAGCAGCTTGCAATAAGAAACAACAAAGGTCCAAAGTCAAAGGGCATAAAACAGCGGTGCCAAGAGGACGCATTTTTCCCTGGCTCAGAGATTTGGAGACACACACAAACAAGCAACCCTATCCTACAGGCAGCTTTGCTGCTCAGCACACACTGCTCAACCAGTGGCAAACAAGCAGCTCAATAGAGCAAACATTAACTAAAAAGCTTAATGATATTGGACTTTAACTGCACAATAAACTCCACACCATTTCAAAGGTTAAATACTTGGTTCCTATATGGGTTTTGTGATTTCTAAAAAATCATTCTAAGAACACCCCCTGTATCAATTACCCATTACAGGAGGGTAACAGAGAATTATTTCCAGCCTTTATGTCCAGTTTTGTTTTGACATATTAGTGTGTATCAATGAGCAGAAAGATGCCGAAGTTGCACATACACTGAGTATAACTCAGCTTTTATTTTGATGGTCATACTACAGACACAAAGGAGAAGTTTCAGTTTTCAGAGGATATTACAAAGCACCGAGTATTCCACTTAACATTAATAGTTGTGCTGACAACCAAGTTATTAACAAAAGTTTGCATGCAAGAACTTGCCAGAAGATTGTTTCAGCAGCAAACTAAGCTAGGAGAGTTCTTAGGAATTACAAAAGAGGAGCATATTATGTGGGTAAGTGTAAAGCTTAGGTGGAAATCACAATTAGAGCTCTAGAAATTGAAAAGTCAGCCTGCTATAATCATGCCTGCTGATCAGAAAGAGCACCTGGGATCAACAACATCACACTTGCTATGGAAAGGGAGCGTTAAATAAGATGGTGGTTAAAGATACTCTCACTCAGAGCATTATCCAAATTTGTGCAGAAAACCAGCAGTAGGTGTCCTGCATCGTTGTGAAGTCTATCTGGTCATCACCCCCACCTCTCTTATGTGGTAGTGGATGGAAGGAGAGAAATACGCAGGAGGTCTGAGCCCATGTCGTATTTTTCTTCTTTATTTAAACGGTTGTTTTTCGACATCTGAAAAATCCTCTTACTTAATAGGAATCATAAAAAGTAAACCATAAAAAAACCCTTTTGTGAGAGGGAAAGGAAGAGATGGTTTCATCTTCTAATCTTTCTTAAGCTGAATAACGGTAAATGTTCAACCTGATAGTAGCAATAAACCAAAATAAGTCGCTGATTCATTTTTAGAGGTGTTGAGCCACAGCTTTGCTTCAGACAAGCAATATCCACACAAGTGCCCTGGTAATCCAGAGGTTACAAACCTTTTGTTGTTGATTACAAATATTTTTGGTTATTCCTCTCGCTCTCCGATTCAGTCAACTGCTCTGCAGCAAAAATGCCAACTCCTTAGACAAGTATTTACATAAACTGTCCTCTTGTAATGAATTTTCTTCCTCTCTCTTCACATCACAAACGAAGCAGAAAGTTTGCTTTACCTGAACCTAAAGTCAAGCCAGCACTTTGGACTACAGCTTCCCTCTCCCCGTTACTCTAACTACACAGGGAAAAAAATCCATTCCTTCCTATCATGATTTAGAAGCATTTATAAAGCACTGCTTACTTTCATGGGCTTCCTTTCTGTCACCATTTGACAGCGAGCCAATTATAGAAATAGACAGATGCAAAACTGATTTATACGATCAAATCCCACTTCCTATGTAAGTGTCAGACTACAATTGTTGCTGTATATTGTAATTACATGATAGTAACACAGGGTGATATTTCCTTTTAAAAGAATGAAAGAATTTAAAAATCCAAATACTTTAAGAAGACGAAATAAAATCGTTCAAAGTAAGAATTATCCTGCTAACCTACTGAAAAATAGATTTAAGGGCCTATATCCCTTACAAAACTAAGTGAGAAGCACCGATTTGTGTTTAGAGGTGCTGACAAGAACTCAAAAACACCAGCTTCCACATACATTTTCTTACTTGGATTCTGTAGGGTTGTATCTGATCTACATTCACAGAAAACACTCCAGTTATCCAAACTTGTTGCAAAATTTCATCAACTGAGAGACAAGCCAAAACACGAGCTACTGTCCCAAATACCATCCTCAAAATACTCAGCACCACTACAAGTCAGCATGAGCCCTTCACCAGCACCACATGAACGTATTTTATGCCTTTTCTACTCAGCAGAAGTGGTTTGTTTTCTAAGCATTAAAAGCCTGAAGGTATGACCTTTCTGTAAGTACATAACTATGCTTGCCTACAAGTTGCCTTCAGAATCTGCTAGCTCTAAATTCCCTTGCACAGAAACCTATGGCATGGCCATAACCAAGTAAAAGCTGAACACCTTTTTCACTGCGTGCTTCATTAATATCCTCCTCCACGCCATCTTTGAGTAATTCCATAAGCAGATAAATTGTTAAATCTCATCCTCAGCGATCGTAGGCTCCCTGCTCTTGTCTATGCAGGTATATTATGCTTGTGATGCTGTACCTGCCGTCAACTGCAGAATTTTTAAAGAATGCATCCTATTCATAGTAGCTGTAGTAGTAAAATGGGTTTAGGAAGCAAACGGTATCTAAAAAACAAAACCAAACCAGCAAACCACCAGCTGAGCTGTTTTCCAAGCTCACTTTGCTGAATACTTGCAAGCAGCAGGCTTTTCTGCAGAGCTCACAGTATGGGAACTGGCTCGGACTCCGGTTTCCATTGTATTAGAAGTAATGAGACACCCGATGCTGACATCAGCACAAACCAAGCTGCTCTCAGATCTGTTTGGAGACAAGGATATGACCTATAACGCACATACACCGAGAACCAGACAACACACAGAAAGAAGCCCTCGCTGCTATCGCTGTTGCAGTTTTTCCCACTCAGGATCAGCAACAAGCCATTGTCATACAGACCTCACTCCTCCTTCCTTAAAGCTCTCCGAGAGGCTCAGCACGGAGCTAAGACCAGCATTATGCTCATACATTTATCCTTCACAGAAGTGGGAGGAAGACTGCTCGGCAAACAAAAAACGGATTAACTCGATATATGACAGATAGGAGCAAAACACTCTAAAGTAAATTAATGAGATTTAACAGACACCAGAAGGAAAAAGCTGCATCTTATAGCTCACCATTTCAAAGATGCAACTTGAAGGTCAATGGCACATTGAAGCTTTCCCCTACCCAAGCATTAATCAAAACGTAACCATTTCCTTGGGACTATGTCTTGTGCATAATTCATGCCCAACTGTTCTCAGGTTAGAAACTGCTACCAATTCTACCAGTTTAAAAACATATAGGCAAGCACTTCAACAGAATTTAAAGAGGAAAGAATCTATCTAATAAAAAATAACCGTTGATTAGACACCAGCGAAGGATCACTGCCTTCTGAAGTTCTCCAACATGCCCTATGTTAAGGTTTGGGTGCAGAAATTACTTTAATCAAGCCTCACCGTCACAACAGAAACACAACCTTTGAGGTTGTTGGAGGATAAAAGAACATTTCGCTAACTTCTGTCTGCCTCTGGCTATGTTGAGGGAGAAACAGACCGACAGGTTTTTTGGTAATACATACAATAAGTAGCTTCTTAGGGAAGGAAAAGAGAAATGATTGAGTCGAGTCAATATTACTGATCAATTACTAACTCTGAACAAGTCTCCTTTTGACATGCCTCCAGGCAACAACAATCCCTGACCATCAACAAGACTGTTACCCAGGGCTCGATACGAGAATTCAGATACAGCCAGTAGCAGTCATTCAGACATACCTCTAGGGCAAAGGCAGAACTTCTAGAACATACTGGCTGAAGAGAGAGAAAGAAACATTTTTTTTTTTAATCTGATATACACAGATGTACACCCACAAAACTGTACATTCCCTTTTGAAGTGATCTTGGGAAGATGCTTCTGCAGGGGATAAAGAGATTCTCGAATGCTGCCATATTTCAGGTACTGAGAGCTGATGACTGAGATGTGTTCCAGACACTGAACATCCATTATTCATTGGAACAACAAATCACAAAGAAATCATCAAAAAACTGCCAAAGTACTGACCGCTCCCTAACGGGTACAGCCAAAGGAAGCCAAAACCAAAGCTGCCTCCCTTCCCTGTCTGTAGGCAGCAAAGGACATGCCAGCAGCAGCAAGCTGCTCCTACTCCACTCCTGCATTTGGTTCTTTAGGACAATTCCTTCCCTACTGAGTAGAAAAATTCTAAATGAGGCAGCACCTCAACCATCAGCAGCAAACAATTTCCAATCAATTTTGAAGGTAACAAGCCTCTGCCAGGAAGTAATTTATCTTTTCCATTGAAAATGGGACAAGCAATCATTGGGAGAACAGAGCAATGTGAATTACTAGGAGAAATTGTCCACCAATGAAAAAATCCATTAGGTCTATGACAAAGGTCAGATAACATTGTTTGGGTTCAGCCGTAATTCTTTCCTATATGAGGTTCACATTAAGATTTTGTGTAATGGGGAAGAGAAAAAGCACAGGTGTGGGCACTCCTCAGACAATTCAGCTACCGAATATCTTTATCAGCTTCTGGTCATGTAAGAACCAAGCAGACTAATATGTTCTAAGAGATTATAACATCCCTTTTTAATTAAGAGGAGACAAAAAACCAGCCTGCTAAAACTACAATGTCAGTACCTCTACACATGGGCATACGTAACAAGTATTTAACAGCAAAACACATAGGATAACCTGTCTGGAAGGGCAGACATCCACAGGTGACCTGAGCAATGGCAAAGACAGCCTTTGGAGACGCTCACCTGCTACTACATCTCCCTTACAGCATAGGAGGGGTTTGGAGCTGACAAACACGCATCGCTCTCGGGGTTTATCTACCTGTGCAGAAGAGTGCAGCCCTAAATATAAACACAAGCTGACCTACAAAATGCTGCTGTTTCAAAAGGTACCTCAACATCAGCGGATAGATTTCAAGGGAATGCAGAAAGGAAGTTGCTCAGACAAGATTCGGATGGCCACCTAGAGCAGAAACAAAGTCTCCAAATGGCTTAACTTGTAACACACGGACACAAATGTAACACGCTGGGATCACTTTAATCTCACAGCCAACTGCATGCAAGTTCTACACAGATACTCTCCCAAACAGTTGGTCTCTGCTCAGGGCAGGCCCAGGCCAAAAATAGCCTTTAGTCTAAGTTACATCTCAGCCATACAAAGGATGTTTCCTGCAGGTCAAGACCGAGGTTACTCATAGGGCAAAAATAAGGAAGCCATCAATGCACTGAAATACCAAGCAACCTACAAAGTCAATAACATTTAAAGATACAAAGTTTTTATTTCCAGAACAGACAGGAATACCAGCAGCATCTCAACTCCGAAATCCACTATTCAAACAAATAAACACTATTTCAGTATGTGGATTCTTTTCCAGATCACATCATGGGTACAAAAACCCACACGTTAAATTGTTTCAAGTCGCCTGCCACAGCAGCTCTTCAAATTTGTATTTGTTCTTCAGCTTATCCACAAACACAGCATTAACAATGTCTGGTTAGCAGGTCACCAAACCCTGGTCTCATTTTACACATCAGTAACTCAAATACTGTACATTATTTCAGAGGAAATTACAGTGATACGACTCTCCCCCCCACCCTGAATCAGTGTAGTCTCACCAACAGATTTACATATGGTCTAAATGCTGAATTTCATCACATAGCTTTCCAGTTGCTTATCATACTTTTGGAACTGACATCAACAAGTAAACGTTTTCAAAATAAAGTGCCAAGTCTCAAATAGAACAGTGTTGAGAAATATAGATATTGTTAGTCTTTCAAAAGCAGCAAGTCTAAGTTTGAAAGCATGTACAGGTTCAGAGCACTGGTAAAGGGTGAGAACACAAGGTTTAAGGATTCTCACACGAAGCCATAAAGCAAACTGTCTTCTTTTGAGGACTCCCCACCAGCAATTTGACTTCCAACCCAAACAACTACGTACGGTTCAGAATTGCCCAGATCTCTACAATTCTTATTACATAATAAAATGGGATTTCGGTTTGAATTTTGAATTCCAATTACCCAACAAAAGGGACCTGATCAAAACATGTTTAAGGCATCACTTCTGCTTCTGAATCACAGGCACAGCCTTGGGCACGAGAAACCCCAAGAAGTTGCCAAAATTCATAGGCTTACTTGCTTTGATGGTTTTGTGCATCCCTGCCCCCCAACAAAAAAGAAGAAAGTTTAGGGGAAAACCACTTGTTTCTTTATTATCTGGCAGACCAAGACCACCTAAGCTGTTTGATCAGTGCACTGCCATCGTAATTTGGCTTCTGACAGTTCTTCCCATTATCATAAAATCAAAGTTGTAGATTATGGGAATACATTTATCTTATCTCCAGACAACAGTTTATCTCACACAGACTTCTGTAAGGGCTGGCAGGAGAACACCACGAGTAACAGCACCCTTGCACTGACCAAACGAAGGTATTCATTTCTTCCTACCTGAGAGATCGTGATGGATAAGGTCAGCAAAGTTGGGGTCATCACCCCACCAAAATATCCACAGCTCCCTGCGTCCAGGTCTCTGGTCTCGGCGCCAAACACTGAGCACATCCGCCTTCAGACAGCGACTGAAGCTGCTCAAAATAGGGTCCTCTTCCGTGACCGGAAAGAGAATGGGGGCAGATGTTGGACCCTGCCATACGTATCGCTTCCATTTAATCCCAGTTAGATCAGCCTAAGGGAAAGAAAAAAGAAACCAACTATCAGACATCGGGGTACATTACCAACAGAAACAGCCAGCTGTAACAGAAACCACGCTTCTAAGTTCTGTGCACCTGAGGAGATAAATTGGAAATAACCAGGCACCCTGTTTCTAAATCTCTTAATAGCTGCAGCAAAGCAAGAGCTGTGCATTTTCACTGCAGCTGTAAAGCGACAGAGGAAAAAAAACTTCTGATCTGATTTAAAACAAAAATGAAAAACGAGTGACAATTATCTAATTATTCGCAGGCTCCAAATGTCCAATCTTTTAAGCGCTCGCCTTAGCAAATTACTACTCACTTCATGCTCACTTATGCTTACGCTGCTTTTTGAAATCCAAGATTACTCTGAGGATACAGGAAATAGGGAAAAAAAAAATCGAACTCAGCCATACGTTCTGCCACTCCTCTGCTATTTCAGAAAAATTCACAGCTTCCCTATTGTAAAATTCCCTATCGCGTGCAGGAAGCTTCTCAAGCACACTTATTTTACTCTGAGCCATCACGCTTTTCATTTCCCACACCACATTTTAAGAATTTAAATCCTGTTTCTCTCATTAAATTACACATCATTGGTTATGATCCACTAAATCCCCTTCTGGGCAAAGCTTCATCCGACTTTATAGAGCGAAGAGCTACCACTGTACCTATTGGGAAAGCGACAATTCCTGGATTATCCCCAACCCAGCACCTCACTAAGTTCTAACACTGAGCTTCTCCCCCTCGAGCACTGCAGCCTTAAGGCCCTTTGGGGTCGCATCGCCCCTCGGCTCCCAACAAGAATGCAGCACGGAGGTGAGGTGCTGCTTGCCAACAAGTCACTGATTTCCCTCCTAGCAGACAACGCACCTAAGATCACCGCAACATTTAAACCTAACATGGCAGCCTTCTACCTTGAGGAGGAGAAACAGTTTAGATGGAAGCTATGGGGGCTGCAACAGTTGACATTCAGACAGCTAGGATTTACAAAGGCAGCAGCAGGATGGGATGCAGGGCCCAAGAGGGTCCCCCAACAACCCCCATGCTACAGCCTGGCACGGGTGTTTGTTTTTTTTTTTTTTACTTATAATGATCTCCAGAACTAAATAAAAACATATATATATATATCAGGCAGCCATCTGATATCGGCTGATTTGCATTAAGCTGATGAAGGAGGTGAGCGCAGCACCTAAATTGCATCACAGCCCAACGAAATCCAATCTGCGTTGGGCGCTACCAAAATGAAAAAAATCCCAACAATTTCGTACTGAGGTTGGGGGGGGGGGGAGAAGAAGAAAAAAGAGCTCAAAATGGTGCACAACGCACAGAAGGCAGCGGGGCTTTGCAGAGCGCTTGGGGGTCTCGGGGTAAAAGCGACACGGGTTGGGGGGGGGGGGGATTTAAGGCAGGGAGAAGGGTTTGGGCCGAGGTTTGTATGGGATGCGTGCAGCGGGGAGGGTAAGGAGAAAGTTGGCCGAGGGGAAAAGGCACAGCTCCCTCCCGTAAAGAGGAGAAAGAAAGCCCAAAAAGTTGAGGGCAGGGCAGGAGCCGCGAAGCCCGGGCTGAAAGCGGAGGGAGGGGCGAGGCGAGGCGGCGGGGAGCCGATGGGGGGGGTGGGGGAAGGAGGG